TATTTTAGAGCTTACAATTGTCAAATGATTGATTACTTTAGAACTTGTAATTGTCAAATGACTGACTCTGGAGGGGGCTATAATTACATAATAAGTGATAGTTCTCTAAACATTCATTTAATAATATCCTATTTAAAAATTGACGTTGTAAAATCCCTAATTATATGAGAAGTTCAAGATCACGATGTGTTGCAATTAAAATTTAATATGCGCTAAGTGAATTCAGAATTTCTTTAATATTTAAAATTTCAATTCAACTTGAGACTTTCGACATCCATTGTTTAATCACGTATATCTGGATTTTTCGGGTTAAGCCACTATCAACTGTCTATTTAGTACGCATAACTTTTCACCGTAATATATACAATGTGGTATTGTTATCAAAATAGAAGTGACTTATAGTGTATTTATATCATGCCCAATCTGGTTTTAAGGAACAAATTCCTAAAAAATTTTAATTCTTTGAACTGATAATTGGGTTTTAATGTTTTTAAGGTATCAACAATTCCTACTTTTAATAATGTGGTTTGATAAAGGAATGCAAAAGAATCTACAGGCACTGTACTTTATAACGTAATAATTTAATACATTTTTACATTTTTTACTTGTTATTTATATATTTGAACTTTTTTTTTTTTTTTTATAAGGCATTGTCGTTGTATTTATGTATTGTAGAGATAACACCAGGATGTCTTCAAGGCATTCGTAAGAAAGTCAGTATTATTTTCATTTTGGAAAATTTGAGAACTAGAGGAGTGGGTTTTGAAAAGTGTATATTTAAATTTATTGTCCCTTTTTTTTTTTTGGTCATTCTTTTGTGTCTGTTATTAATTAATTTACTATCCATTTATTCGCTATTTTTACTGTATCATGATTTCTCCTTATTGTCTGATTCTAGGCTTTTCTGAATTTCTAAAAAGTGCAGTAATTCTAGTCAACTGACTGAAGGAAAAAGGTCTATGGATCAAGATTTTAGCGATGTTGAAACAATCAATAATGACTATTATAACGATGAAGATGAAACGGAAGATACTCAAAAGTTTCCAAATCTTTGAAAGGTGATAGGATAGTTGTTCACCATGTCTGAAACCTCAAAAGGAGAAATAATAATTATATCAAACTCATCAGTTAAAAACTTGACTAGTTTTTGATGAATTTCGTCCTGAGGTTGTTCGATCTTTCGTTTCATACGAAAAATTGCTTTGTCAACACGTAACACTTTTTTTTCTTGTGTTTCGAGCTAAACTGTCCTTGATTAATATAAGATTATCCATGTGCTTACATAAACGAAAAATATATCCTATATCATATTTATCTATTTTGCTCAAACCTTTTGTTGGAGAATACCATGTGAATAGAGTACTTGTTTGTCTTACATATATACATTAGTTTGCCCAATATACTCCATCAATATGTCTTATATCTGCAGATTTTTGATAATATTCGAATGCCTTCTTTAAGTCTTTTTCAACTTCTATAACAATGTCCAACATTACAAGCATGTCCTATATTTGCAGATTTTTGATAATATTTAAATGTCTCACCTATATCTTTTCAACTCCTATTCCATATTGGTAACAATGCACAACCCTATACATTATAGCGGATTTGTAAAATATCCCAAAATTTGAAAAATTTGACTACTGATTGTAAGTCATCTAATTGACGCACATATAATATAAGAATTTTATCATATATATAATTGTTCTGATCTAAACTATGATATACTATACATATAATATTAATAATATAAAGATAAAACATACATGGATTGTACAATTAAATAGAAGTCACCATGAAGAAAATGAGTTATCTGAATTGTGCAGAAATAAAATAATTATACAGAAACATAAAATAGGTTCATTTAATTGTGAGATTTAAAATAGGTTCACTCAATTGTACATAAATTTAAAATGGGTTGTGATAGTGGGAAAATAGGTTAGTCATATTGTTATTATAGATCGGAGCATTAATAATTTTTTTCGAAAAATTAATATTAAATTTGTCCCCAAAACTTAAAATTGAATCAGTTAAATGATATTCCATTAACATGATCTGCTGATTTTTGATAATATTTGAATGCAGCTTTTTTAACACCTTTTCTATTTTTGTAACAATGTCTAACAATATATATTCCATCTGCATAAATCACATTTTGTTTTTTTGTGATGGCTATTTGTTTTTTTTTCTTTTTTTCAAAGTGAAATGGGCGTAAGTCATGCTTTCCATCTTCTAACTCATTAGTTTTTTTTGATAATAAGGTTGTAGAATTATGAAAATAAGTAGGGTAAAAATGATTCCAATCTTTTTTTGAAAAGTTATATACACAAATAGTCATTTGTCTGTCACAAATCTTTCTTGGATTTAATGATAATAATAATTTTTGAATTTTTTCTATTATATTTTTTCTAGCAGTTAATGCTTCGTCAATACTCTCGTTGATCACATTTGTAGGTACTTTATCATATAAGCCTTTAAGTTGTAATTCAAACTATATGACTTTTCATAGAAATTTACATTCTTCCCATATACATGAGGTTTGTAATTTTTTATCCTCATCCTTAGGATCTTTCCATTCTTTAACACCCATGTATAATTTTAGTTTTTCTTCAAGTGGAAGAGGTTTTATCCATTCAATTTTTTTAATTTTTTTAAATTTGTAAAAAAAACGCCGACTTTTGTTCCATCTAACAACTATATTATACACGAATCTCATCAATCCAAGCCATCTCTTCAATATCTTTTTCTGAGAATGATTAGGATATGTTTTGATTGCTAACTTTTGATACACAGAATTTTCATTTTTTCATTTTTTTTTTGCTTCATACTTTAATTGTTTTTTTTCTTTTCCTATTTTTTAACTATTCTTCAAATTCGACAGGTGAAAGTTCTGATTGCAAAGTTATTTTGTAATAATTCATTTGCTGCAGCGGAACATGGTTTGTTGACTAGAACCATGAATTTTGTAGAGTATAATATAGATCTATATTCATATACAAATCTGAAGGGTCGTTTATGGTGGGAAGCCATAATTTCTTAGACCATTCCTTAACTTGTTCATTCCAATATGGTCTTATGCTCATTATCAAAGCATCATATGAAACCAAAATTAAAGAAGAATTTAAGCTCAATTGAAGATGAGAACTCAATTTTATAAATGATTTAAAAAAAGCTTTGAAGAGAGGAGAAAAAATTGAAACTCAAAAATTTCTTGGTTTTTAGAAATCTTCTGATTCTAAAATACCTTTATTTATAAGGATTTTTTGAACTTTTTTTTTTTATTAAGGGAGGTTCCAGATATTAGATATACATATAACATTTAATACAATTGTTTGACAATTACAAATTCGTCTAATAATTGTGTCAAACCCGATAGTTTAGGACCCCAAAGGTTTTTACTAGATTTGACAATTGTGTCATAACTATGTTGTAAACAAAATTTATATATCGCTGGCTAGAATGTAAATCATAAGACAAATAAATTGTCATTGTCTATTGATGCAGGAGAATTATTTCCACAAATGTGAAAAAATTTTCCTGTATCACTAGTCAATAACAATTTATTTGTCATATGATACACGCTCTAGCTAGCGATAATTACAAAACAATTGTCAGATCTAGTAAAGACCTTTCGGAATCAACTAAATCTCAAACAATCGGGTTTGGTTTACATCGCTAGTGTCAATATAACTAATGAGTATATAACTTATATATATGCCTGTATGTAATAATATTTTTTATCGTATTATTGATTTGACTAACTACAAGAAAATCAGAATCTGGTAATAGTCTGTAGCGAAAAATGAGATCATTATAGGAACCAGCACCATAATAATATGCCAGCCATTTAAAAATTGTCGTTCTTGATCTAGAATTTAATTTGCCAGAATAACAATTCAACACATGCATATAATTGCTTACATAAAATATTCGATTAATAGATTAAAATATACAGACTGTATTCGATTAATAGAATAACTTATATTCGATTAATAAATTATAATAGGCTTTAATTTGATTGATCAAAAACGACACTTCAAACAATTGGCATTGGCGCAGTAAATGGCCAGCATATTACTATAGTGTCTGAAGCCCTGATAGGAACCTTTAATTCTGGTGTTTTCCGACAAATATTGTTTAAACTTGTATTTAAGTTTGATCAAACAGTTGAGTCCTTTGCTACATTTCGAACAATTAATTTTAAGTCAGCAAGATAGTCGTGGCAAGCCTGCTGCAATATGTCAGTAGCTAGTTAAAATTGTCAGAGATTCTCAAGACTGACATATCTGATATAATTAATCCAAAATATGAATTTGCTATCTGCTTAGAAATGACTACATATAAGATACACGTGAAAACAGTTGTCGTAGTTTTGCATGCTGATCATCAAAATAGGCACGGATTTAAATATTCAAATCTCCAGAATTGGATAATACAACAATTTATTTGTCATTATTATTGGACATAATTATTCCAGTGATCAATAAAATGATTTAATCTTTTAAAGAGCTTACAGATATTAGGTATATAGCCCCCAGAAACAGTTATTTGACACAATTATTAGACAAATGTTTGACAATTACAAGTTCTAAAGTAATTGAATTTGTAATTGTCAAACAATTGTGTCAAATTACTGGGAGGCTATATATCTAATATCTGGAAGCATAAGTGTCAAGTTTTTTTTAAAACTGATATTATTCAAATTAGAGAGCTTACAGTCAAGGTTGGCAATAGATATACTCTATTGGGAAAATTACCAATGAAACCAATAGATTGAATAGAGTTACATGCCGTAGAAACTATTTCGGCATGATTTTGATATGAATAATACTAATGGAGAATATAATATAGCTAGTGGAGAGCCCAGTGGAGATAATGGCTCTGATAGAAATATCCAATAAAGCCGATAAAGAATAGGGTTCTAATCTATAGCCTCATATACCAATAGCTAATAAACTGGTCGAATGGATCAATGTCAATAGAGTTGGTTGGCTTCCATTGGCTCCATTCAGAAATTATTCTTAATAGAGCAATAGAGCAATGTCAATGGAGTTGTTCTCTATTCGTCCCAATGGATAAATGTGCTAACTCTGCTTACAGTATAATAGTTGAATGTGAGAGCTGATAACAACTCTAACTGTGTATGGGAATAGAGATATAAATATGCAGGATGAGTAATAAATAAAACTCACAAATGTCAATAAAGATTAATAAATCAGAATGATTTAGCAAGAATATAGAAATTTAATGAAGAAGATAATAGATGAATCTTATAAAGCAAAGCTGATATATTAATCAAGCTGATGCAGGTGATTCCAAAGATGGTGGGAGTTTTTGATTTTTTTTATGTTGAATTAAAACTTTTCTAGACTAAAAGTTCTTTTAGACAGAATCATGTGACCAAGTTCTGAAGATGTATGACTGCGATTATACAGAATTTCGAGTCTTAATAAGCTGATTGAAGTTACAAGTCAATTCAATCTGTCGAATTGAGTCTCAAAATAGGTTTATTAAATTTACAGTTGAAATTCAAAAGATAAAAGTATTATTTCGTTATTTTGTTACTTTTAAAATGGATGTGGAACTTGTTCTTCTTTATTAATTTTTCCAGGTTTTTATATAGTTTAATTTTCCTTAGCGTCGATATTAAAAATTTAGCGTCTGTGCTAATAATTTGGCATATAAAAATTTAGCGTCGACGTGAACCTTATTTTCACATAAAGAAATGATGAATATTCTATATTAGTAGATAGTCAATTACCTGAGTAATCTATTTTAACAAATTTTTTGAATAAATAATTTTTTTCTATATTAACAAAGCTTTGGTGTGGCATAATACCCCCACACTTATGTATTAAATAAAATATTAATTGAAATAACGAGACAATACATGTCTAAACAGATATATAATAAATTTATAAATATTATGCACTACTTTGTTCGTCAAATGGTTTATCTGCTCCTTCCAGTCAGTTCATTTTGATATGTGGCCATTTTTGTGTGAATTTTTTTCATTGCTATACATCACCAAAAATTATCAAAAAAATTATTATTGATAGAAGTTTTTACGAAATGAAAAAGAATCATACTTTCATATAACTTACTCATGATCTGTTATTAGATCTTCTGGTCTAACAGTATCATTTTCTCGATTACAGAAAACTTTGAACCTCATTTGTTTAACCAAAACTTCAAATTTGCTAGCAATTTTAGCTTTGAAAGTCTTATACATCTCGGTTTTTAAAGCCTTAAACCGTAGAACTTCAGATAGCGGATATTCCAAATTTGTGGGATTAAGCCCTTGATGGCTTTCAAAGGTAGCTGGAGTTACAATCTATTCTAATCAAATGGTGAAAAACTGAATTAAAAGTTTAAATAACTATAAATCATATAAATTCATTATTAAATTCACAGAATATTGTCACACAATTATATATAATGTAAATATGATAGAATACTTTATTATGTGTAGGGTTCCAGTTGGATCCTTTAAAATGCAAACAAAGGCCGTAATATTACAACCATCGTTCAAGCATAATTATTAAGATTTAAAAGATAATATTGATTTTTTAGTTTTTTTTAAATTTTTTTTAAATTTTTTTTTGTATTAAATTTTTCTAGCTGTCAATACTTCGTCAATACTCTCATTGATTATATTTGCAGATACTTTATCGTGCGTACTTTTAAGATATAGTTCTAACTATACAACTGTTCGTAGAAATTTACATTCTCCCCATACACTTGATCTCTGTGATTTTTTTTATCTTTTTCATTAAGATTTTTTCTTTCTTTTACATCTATGAATTGTTTAAGTTTCTCATTAAGATTTTGTGGCTTTAGCCATTCAAAATGTTTAGAACCGTTAAAAAAATGATGATTTTTGTCCCATCTAACAACAGTATTATAAGCGTATCTTATCAATTCAAGCCATCTCTTCAAGATCTTTTTCTGATAATAATAACGTTCGATTCACATTATTTTCTAATTTTTTTTTTTTTTTTTGTTTCGTGCTTTTATTGGTTTTTTTTCTTTTCCGTTATTTAAATGTTCTTCATATTTGACAGGTAAAGGTGCTGATTGCAAAGTTATCTTAGAATAATTATTAGTCAGTGTTAGTGTTTTCTAATTTATTAAAATGTTTGAATATGCTTGAAAATATTTGAATGTGCTTTGAAATTTTTAAAATGTTTTGAATGTGCTTGAAATATTTTTGTATTTGACGATTTTAGTAAGAAATTTTAAAGAGAAATTTTTTAAAAAAAAAAGTTTTTCTAATGCTAAATGTGATGATACACTTTAGTACTAACAGTATTATGATTGAGATAATTGTTGCGGCCCTCATTAACCATGATTAATTTTGGAAATATCGAAGCTAAGATAATACATGTTCTTGTCTTTTCTTCGGAAATTGCTAGTATCAACCATTTCGACTGATTTCATATCCTTCCCGAGTGTCGTTTCTTCATTGTACTATGTGCTCTTAAGTCTGGACTGGATTGTTGTAAAAGTTCTTCCACCAACATTATGCTGCACCATTCACAGCACTGACAAAGCGTTGGTTAGTCAGTCTTTTCGTATTCATCAGATCACAACGATCTTCGTACATGTGTCAAAATAAAGTAATATGTTTCGACTATCGTATTTATCTTGTGATATACCGATAATTCTGATACAAGACCACCGAATTCTATCAAATGCTCTTCGCCCACTCAAAATCTTTGTAGTAATATCTCCAGAATTGTAAATATCTGATACTTGAGTGTCTGATCGACCTATCAAAATTTCAGGTACTATATATGGTAGAATTTCACAAAATTTTTCCTTCTTTTACTTTTTAGAGAGCCTAAGATATTCAATATACATTTTGTAAATCAGGCTATAAAATGTTTCCACTGTGTAAATTCCTATAGATGAATCCCTGTGAATGCACTACTTTGAGATCCATAATTATACAACGCAAGAGAATTAATTTATCTTTCTATTTCATTCATGCTACTTCTGCAAGATTTTGTCGTAATGGACCTTTTAATGCATAATCTATTACAATAATGTAATCACTATAATCATTTCTTGATACTCCAACATGCTGCAAAACTGAAGAATAATTTCTCAATTCTTGAATATATTCTTGCTCATTTTCGTTTGAACCACAAATAGCCTTAAATTCAACTTCCTTTCAGCTATTACTAATTTCGTCGAATCATGTTGCACTATATACAGCTTATTTTTTCTTTTTCTCTAATATCCTCGAATTTATCATAATCAATCCAAGATAATCCAAGTCTCTCATCGTCTAATTCTCATAAGTTCAAGATTGGTGATTCAAAAGATTTCTATATTTTGTGACCCAATAATTTTCTTTGGATTTGGACTTCAATCTTACCTGAGTTCTTTTGTCGTGGCCCTCACTAACTACGATTAATTTTGTGACCGCAAGTCACTGACGAAATATCAACATCTCAATACGAAGGTATTGATTACAATGTTTATAAGAATTCTCTTTTCCGGGTATGGTAAAAGATAATTCCTCATGTGCCCCTACTATGCACATAAGAGTTATAACTATCCATAACTTAGTTGACTTAGTTACATTATGTTATGTTCTTTTATCAGCAAAAAAAGGTTTCTTATATATTTAATATTCGACTTCTAGATTAATTACATTATAATTAATAACATAATACTTATCTTTTACTTAAATTATATAATTAGTTAATCATCTGATACTTATCTTTTTAATTTAATATTTCTCATGCATCTTGATACTAGTAAACCTATATGATAACGTTGTAGATCCCATTGCACAATTTTGGTACCAATTTTTTTCCTTAGAACTGATAATAAATAGTATATGTTTATGTAAATTTTGAGGTGGATACATTCAAATTAATTCTTATCTAATAGTTCACTGGTAGGGAAGCTTGTGTGATCTTCCTCCTCACTATGCAGATAATAATAATCTGACAATCGCGCTCTCTTTAATAGTGTTTTTATATGTATAAAGAAAAAATAAATGAAGTGTATGACATGCTTTTAAGGGAGAGAGTACATGAACCCTAAGCCTTTTAATGTAAGTTCCTGCGTCATATTATTTCTCTAAAACATAATATATATAGTCAGAGGCCCTATCACTTTAGTAGTAGAAACAAAATTTTTTACTTGACTATGGATTTGAAAAATTTTTAAAAAAATGATTTATATATACTTATTTAAGCTATACTGGTACTCACTGAATTTTTCAAGTCAGTATGTGGCTTGTTATATTTGTTGTTCAACAGACAAGCCATAAATATTTGTAAATTCTAGTATGTATCAGGAAGGGAGTGCAATGAAGTGCATGGTTATATGGCAAGTGAAGAGTGTATCCGACTTCATGAATTTGCTTGAATTGCATTTTAATGTGATTTTTGTTGTGTTAGTTCTTTCTGACAGGACGTGCGTATGTACGTTGTGAAATTTTTACGGCTAGGCTAAGCTGTTATATTTTTAATGACTTAACGGCTTAGCCTATAATTTATGGGATACGTGGTATTTCACCGACAAATACTTCACAAACAGCTTAGTTCGCCGTAATTAATTCTCAGAAAAGTTTATTTTACAGACAATTGTTTCACTGACAGCTCATTTCACCAACAAATATTTTTTATAAATTACACCAGCCTTAGCCCTAATTTTAACCTACTACTAACAACAATAACCAGAATTAATTTGTCAGTAATTAATTGTTGGTGAAGTGAACATTCGTATGATTGGATGTTTAGATCAATTTAATTTTACATTATTTATACAGTTTAAAGTAATTTTTTTAAAAAAAGAAAACTACTACGAATAAACAAAGAAGAATTATATAAGTAGAAAGTTTTATTAGAGTTGTAGGACTCCACTATTAAAAATAATCACAATTCTTTTTTGTTTTAGAGAAGTTAGCATAATAGCAACTTCTTAAAGTTAGATAAAATCAGGTAATTACCATGCTAACTTCTCTAAAACAAAAAAGAATTTTGATTATTTTTAATAGTGGAGTTTTACAACCCTAATAAAACTTTCTACTTATATAATTCTTCTTTGTTTATTTGTAGTAGTTTTCTTTTTTTTAAAAAAATTACTTTAAACTGTATAAATAATGTAAAATTAAATTGATTTAAACTGCCAATCATATGAATGTCTGCATATGACTGAATCATACTATGTCTATATAGTACTTTATTCAAAATAAGTAGCTTTTTAGATTCGTGTTTACTTTAAATATTTCGACTGTTTTTATATTATAGAATTTTAAATAACAAATTAAATACTTGGAAACAAATAAATATTCAGTCAAATACATTAAATTGAAATTTGTTTCTCAAACCTGAGTTTAATTAGAGTTAGGGTAAAACCCTATACGTATTGGGTAGTTTATTAATTATTTTTGATCTAATGCAAAAATTTTAATTCTATGTATAACGATTACAAGGTTTTTTTTTTATATTATATATATATAGTTATATACAACTTCAAATTTTGTAATTAGCCAGTTTGATTAGACTATCAGCTAGCTAAGTGGCTAACTTAATCGGCTTGAAACACTAGTTGTATGTACATACGTACGTACGGTGAAAGAAATTTAGAAATCTCAATATTTTTATGTAGAGTTTATGGGTGTTCTTAAGCATCTACCTCAATGGACTCAATAACGAATCTGAATGGTCAGTTTTATCAAACTAGCCAATCAGGTTTTTTATTGAATTCATTGAGGTGGGTGCCTGAGAATGCCTTATGAATAAACTAGTAGTGCATTGAAAATAAATTCCTAAATTATCAATCTCAATAAGCAAAGGGTCAAATCTCTTCGATAAAAACAATAAGCAAAAACAATATGTATGTAATAGCATATATAAAGCGATTGAGGTTTTAGATTTTCTGCACTGGTACGTACGTATGAGAGAAAATTCATAATTTTAGATAAGTATTGAAATAATAATTTATTTTTTAGAATTTCGGATTATTCTCTTGGCTGCACTTGTAATAATTAGGTATGTAATTGTTTTTGGTAAACAAGAAGTAAACTTTTTAGAAATTAGAACCGGACTGCAATTTAGATGTTATTCATGTGATTGAGGCTTAAATTGCATTAAAATTCTCACATATATAAATCGGCTTTTTTTTTTAAAAAAAAAAAAAGATATAAAATGCATCAATTCTTGGTCTTTTCATAAACAATTCTTTTGTATCTGAAGATTGCCTAGTTGCCTTGAGCAAGACTCAGCTCTAGAGTAAAATAAGGTTTTGCTCTAACGGCTTAGAAACTGGGTTTAGATTTTTTTTTGTTTTTTTTCTCTAACTTCACCACTGTGGATAATTTTTTTTTATTGTCGTGGACATGAATTTCCTAAACTCTAATTCATATCAAGCATGCTCCAATTACCTTGAGCAGGACATGGCTCTAGGGTTTTACCCTATAGGGTAAAACCATAACGGCTCGGTAATTGGGCTTGGACATTTTTAATTTATTTTATTCTTTTTTTCTTGTATTTATTTTTTTTTTAAACCAAAAAATTTATTTTTAAATGTATGTATTTTGTGCAAAGTTCTTCCAATATCGACTATGTGCTTTGGAAACTTTGAGTAGTTAAAGGTTCTGCAAGAGGATATAAGAGATCTCATAAAGGCTCATATAAAGTGTCACTAAAAACTTTATCTAATTCAGAATGCTCAACCGATTTTTTAAAAGTCATATGGAATGTAAAAGTGGACTTGAAGTTTACTGGATAACACAAGGTAATAAAAAACAATATTTGACGGTATTTCAATATGCAAATAAGGGAGATCTTTATAAATCATTAAAAGAAAGCCCTGAAGAATTGGATTTCGATGCTTCCAGCTCATATAACATAATATGATGAGATATGATTGTTATTATCTTAGTGAACTTTATACAATGCTGTAGTACACTTTCAATTAGAAATTCTAAGGTGAGTATACAAGAAATTTGACTTTTGCAATGGTAGTATTGGCAATTTCTTACTGGAGCACAAATTTTTTGTGGATTGTTAGAGAGTGCAATGAGTTTATTATAGAATTGTAATACTGTCAGAAAGAAAGTAATATGATGAGGTATGATGGATTATGTAATTATATTACTATCTTATTGAAGCTGAGTTTATTATAGAATCGTAATACCTTTGTACTAAAGTGTAATATGTCATCAATTCATAGTATAATTATTATTCACATTTAAAAAAACTTTTCTTAAAATTTCTCCTTAAAATTTCTTATCATTTATTTTGAAATCATCAAATACAAAAATATTTTAAGCACATTAAAACATTTAAATATTTCAAAGCACATTCAAACATTTTAAAATATTTCAAGCACATTCAAACATTTGTCTTTTAATTCTTTTTTTTTGGACTTTAATGAAACGATCAAGTAAAAGAATGGTCACAGAAATTATGGTTACAGTACCCATCGTGAACGACCCTGCAGATCTCATTAAATATATGTTCTTGTTATACTTTACAAAATTCATGGTTCTCTTCAATGAATCAAGTTTTGACAAACATGAATTATCACAAGATAACTTTGTAATTAGCACCTTATATAGCACCTGAAATTTTAATGGATCGATAGTATACTCAAGCATCAGACATTTATCTCTTAAACTGTTTTGGGGGCAAATTTGTCCTAAATTTTAAAAATTTTAATAAAATTTTGAATATTAATTTTAAACACATATTAATTATATAAAAATTATAGTTTAAGATATGCTTTATTAACTTTATTAAGAAAATTTTTTAAGTTTTAAAAAAAAAATTTAAAATAAATAACTTTAAAATTTGTCTTTAAAAATTCTATTATAAAAATTTGCTTGAATTTTTATATGTTTTTATTTATAAATTTTTTCTTTACCTCTAAGACAAGTTAAAAATTTATTAATTAAAGTATTAAAGTTACAATAACAAAAGTTGTATATTTTAATATGCTCTATCAAATTGCTTTAAGGTTATAGGGGGGTATACTTAGTATTTTTTTTGAGTTTTACTAATATAAAAAAATTTAAAAAAAGTTTATTCAAAAAATACTTGATTTTTGATTATAAGTAAAGTTTAATTTTTTACTAAATAATTAAAAAATAAAATATAGTATCATATAGTATATATCTTAAACAAATATAAAATAAATTTTTATAAAAATATATTAATTTTTTAAAAAAATAGATCAGAAACAACTTTTTAAAAGCAAAAAAATCAAAATTTTATTAAAAAGTACCTACAATTTAAGGGATAGTATTATTGCGACAAAAATTTCATCCGGCCAAATAGCATTTGATGAAATTCCATTTAATGATGATCTGGTATCAAAAATTATCAGTGGATCAAGACCTAAATGTTTAGGGCCTGGTTGTTATATTAAATTATTTATGAAATGTATTTTCACCTGTCAAATATGAAGAACAATTAAATAACAAAAAAAAACAATAAAGCACAAAACAAAAAAAAAACAAAAAATCAAAAATACTGTGAATTGAATGTAATCAATCAAAACGTATCCGAATCATTCTTAGAAAAAGATCTTGAAGAGATGGCTTGTATTGGTGAGATACACTTATAATACTATTGTTAGATAGAACAAAAATCGTTGTTTTTTTAACTGTTCTAAAAATTTTGAATTGCTAAAGCCACAAATTCTTAATGATAAACTTAAACTATTCATAGATGTAAAAGAAAGAAAAGATCTTAGTAAAAAAATAAAAAATTACAGAGATCATATGTATGGAGAGAACGTAAAATTTTTTCGAACAGTTGTATGGTTAGAATTATGTCTTAAAGGTTTACATGACAGCTAGAAAAAATATAATAGAAAAAATATAATAGAAAAAAATATAATCAAAAAAAAAATCAAAAAAAAACCAAAAAATTCAACGTTATCTTTTAAATCAAAGGTATTTTCACTGATGAAGAATCAGATTGGGGATTTACGAAGTTTTATGACCCGTATAAACTGGTTGATCCATTTAATAATCATGCTCGTTCACCAATAGAAAACGATGGTTGTAATATTACGGCCTTTGTTCGCATTTTAAAGGATCCAACTGAAACCCTACACATTATAAAGTATTCTATCATATTTTGATTATGCTGCATTATGACTTTGAAATTACGTAAACCTTTTCATATATAGTGAAGCCGAAAAAAGTCATTTATAATTGTATATTAAAGTAATTATGTGACAATATTATGTGAATTTAATAACGAATTTATATTATTCATAGTTATTTAAACTTTTAACTCAATTTTCACCATTAGATTGTAACTTCGGCTACCTTTGAACGCCATCAAGGGTCTGATCTCGGAATATCAGCTATCCGAAGTTCTGCGGTTTAAGGCTTCAAAAACCGAGACGTATAGGACTTTCAAAGCTAAGATTTCTAGCAAATTTGAAGTTTCGGTTAAACAAATGAGTTTCAGAGTTTTCTGTTACCGAAAAATGATACTGTTAGACCAGAAGATCTAATAACAGATCATGAGTAAGTTATATGAAAGTATGATTCTTTTTCATTTCGTAAAAACTTCTATCAATAATAATTTTTTTGATAATTTTTGGTAATGTATAGCAATGGAAAAAATTCACACAAAAATGGCCACATGTCAAAATGAACTGAATTTGTTTATAGAAGTAGCAGATAAACCATTTGATGACAAAGTAGTGCATAATATTTATAAATTTATTATATATCTTTTTAGACATGTGTTGTTTCATTATTCAATTGCTATTTTATTTAATACATAAGTTAAGGTTCTTTAATTGGGAGTTGGACAGGGGTTATGAACTAGTTTCTAACTAGTTCAGGACCAGACTTTTTAAGGACCGGACTGGGACTGGACCAGACAGACTTTTTAACATCCCTACTGGCATCAAATCAACCAGAGCTTCCAATGCCATATTTTATATTATTCATTCCAAAAAGTCGAATCCGGATATAAATATAAATTCAGATTCTCTATCATCGACTAAGGGTTAATAAGAATCTGATTGGTCTATCTGATTAAACTCGAGAGAAGTATTTCTATCTGATTAAACACGAGAGAAGTATTTGGAACGTCCTAACGCCAAGTCAGTTATATATATATTGTATATGAATTTCCGGATTTGAATGACGAGAAATCCGGCTGGCTATGCCAATTTCGACTTAGGGGCGCTCTCATGCACTTTTCTCAATAAATTCGATAAAGAAACTGATTGACCAGTTTGGTCCGACAGGCTGATAATCGAAATTTAACGTTAGGTCGACCACAAGTATAGAAATTCATTTTCAACTTTTTTAGTTTTAACAATAATTTGAACATTTTTTTTATATTTATTAAATCAAATAACTATTTTATTTAATTCAATAAATTTGATACTGTAGAAAAATTTTTTTTAGCCAATCAAAATGCAAAAAATCAATAAAATACCAAAATTTAATATGAAATTTACATTTTAGTCTTTAGGTGTCGCGCACTGTATAATTTAAATTAATTTTTAGTATAGAAAAACAATAATTAAACAATTTCAAAAAAACTTTCTATTAAGGGTAATTTCACCCCATCTATAACCACAAGCAACAATACTATGACGATTATCTCGGTGACCTCAATTTTACGCGAATCTATAGGACACGAATAACTTGAAATATTTCATCCGGGCGAAATTATTTTACATTGACGAAAAAAATTAACCTTGTTTACTGTATGATCGACTATCATATTTATTAATTTTTTTATATTTTTATAATAATTTTCAAAAAGCCCTAAACACTAGCTATTACATTTTAGCTATCATATTATATACATTAATTATATACATGATTAAATTTGTATATAACTAGTTTAAAAAATAATTTGTTTAAAAGTTAATTGTAAAAAGAATTTATAGAAATTACCAATTAACAATGAACAACAATGTGTTTAGATGGTACTACTGTAACGTATTTTTTCAATTTTTTTTTAATATTATTTTTCAATTTCCAATATTCTTCTACACCCACGTAATTCAAAGTTCTTTTTCTCATGCAGAATTCGATTATTGCTTTAACTTGTTCCTCATCAATGCTGCTAATTAAAAGCCTTTTTAAAGGTGCATAGCAATTATCGAGAAAAATGCAGAGACATGAATTTAACAGGGTGCGTTTTAAGTCAAGATATTGCAATGTTAACGGCAATATTTCTGCGAATTCCTTAATTTCCTTTTCTGAAATGTTATCTTCGTGCCACACCGTGAGAAATTGAAGCTTTTGTAATTTGCCAATAAGCTCTATCATTGGTGTAGAAATTACAAGTGTAATGTCGAGATATGTAATATTTGGGCAGAGAGATTCACTAGTAAGTCCTTTTAATAAAGCCAATTCTTCTTCTTCTTCACAAATTTCATCAGAATGTATTTTTAGTCGTTGTAATAATGCGCCAGACTTTTTAAAAAATGAAATTAAGGGTAATGCCTCAATCGGGTTGTTCTCATGTACATCCAAAGTTTTGATTTTATCAAATGTATTCAACAGGTCAAAATCGCTATCTTTGATACGAAGAATTTCTAAATTTTCACAATTCATTAGCACCTCAAATTCCGCATTATAATTACAATATGATAATATAATTTCTTGTAATGATCGTTTTTGACTCTCTAAAGCCGAAATGATTCCACGGTAATCTTTAATCTCATCATCATCTCCATTGCTTATTTCAAACACCCTAAGCTGCTTTTGTGATTTAATAATGGATATAAGTGCATTAAATAACCTGGGGCTTATATTCATTATAAAATCGAATGTACAAAGCATTAAGTTTTCTAGTATTATTTGCCAAGATTTCTAATAAACTAATAGCACTCTCAATGCTGGCGTCTGATATTTCATATAGAGATAAATCTTGGAGGTGTGAGAAAAATTTCTCATTTTCTAGTAATAAGTCAAAGATCCCTGAATTAATTTGAATAGATTCAGAAAAGTCTAAATCTAATTTGTGCAAATTGGCACCACTCTTAATAAATAATTTAAATAATAAATTAATTATGCAATATACCACACCACGTTTGTCTCTGAAAAGAACGAATTGAGCCATCTTCTAACCATTTTTTCTAGACAATGTAAATTAAGAACCTTTAGAAATCTTGCATAAACAAACCGTGGTTTGGGAAATCCGGCATATACCATTCCACACTTATTTAAAAAGGATTTTTCTTTAGACGAAAAATAACTAGAAATTAATAACGGCGTCTTTTCTTTGTACAGCACTTCACTGAATGAAAATGGATCTTGCCAAAGAATTGGAATTGACATTTTACTCCAATGTCGGCTCACAAGTGCGCACGAGTATAAGGAATAAAATTCATTACTTAAATTATTAAGAATTTTTTCCATTATTTCGGGCATATTGCCCATAAACATTTTTGATGCCATGAAACTGTGTTAACGTCAAAAACTTTACTTTTTATGCAGTGAGTTACTGAAATTACAATTTTTTTTGGATTTATTGTAGATTATCGTGATTGTATGACGATAATTGTAATACATGCAATATCATCCAATCATATGATTAGTCGACAGCCAATTAACCCCCACCGATCATTTTAATTTTTAAAAACGTTAATTGAAGATATCTCGGCAACTACATTCGATGAGCTTTTTTTTTATTTTAATTATAGAATCATGTAGAATTCAAAGAAAAAAAAACGCATAGAATTTAGTCAGGTGGGTGTCGAGATATCGTCGATCAAAGTTTCACAACAATCTGCAACGCGGTAGACGTTCAAAATTTACAAAGTCTTTGGTCAAGGATATCTCGACAATCACCTGACTAAATTTGATAAGCTTTTTTTTTTTTTATTTTAATTGTAGAAATCTGTAGAATTCAAAGAAAAAAAAACTCGTCGAATTTAGGCAGGTGGGTGTCGAGATATCTTCAAAGTTTCACAACACTGCAACGCGACTTCTATTTGATAGACGTTAAATTTACAATACTTTGATCGAAAATATCCCGACAGCCACCTGGTTAAATTCGATAATCTTTTTTTTATTTTATTTGCAGAAATCTGTAGAACGCAAAGAAAAAAAAGTTTGTCAAATTTGGTTAAGTAAATATCGAGGTATCTTCGATCAAAGTTCGAGAAAATTGTAAAAATTAGAATGGTCGGCGGGGGTGTGGCATTATCAAAAAAAGGGTGTGGAAATATCAATTTCCTTTCTAAAAATATATATTTTTAAAATCAAAATTTTTGATTAATTAATTAAATTAACAATAATTTATAGTATTATAATCTTTATACAAAATTAAATAGCTTTTTTACTATTAAATTTATTAAATTTTTCATAATAAAAAAATAGATCAAAATTTTAGCTACTATATATTGTATAAATTTTTCTAATATAGCTTAGGACTTTCATATCTACCCTTAAATTCAAAAGGCAACAAAGGTTTATCTCTAATATAAATTCCCATTCCATTAGGTGACCAAACATCAATAACAGCCTTATCAAACATGCCACCAACCGAAACCCAACCAACTCCTGAAAATACTATATCTTTAATACTCATTGTTCCTGATATACCTTTCATCGCATATTTTTTTAATCCTTTAATCATTGCTGGAAATTCCTTTCTTTTTGATGAAAATATTGGTGGTTGTAAAAATGTTTGATCACCTACTGCCATAGACTGACATATCTCATCTGCGCGTCTTATAGATGTAAGATGAGGTTTTAATCTACTAAACACAGTAATACGAATTGGTTTTTGCCCCTCTACATAATCTATCCTCCCAAGTCCTTCCAAAAATACTGTTTTTCCTATTTTATTAAAATAAAATGTCAAACCTTAATTAAGTAATAAATTTGCATATTGTACTTTAATATGAGTTTACCTGGTGTTAAAGCGAATGTTAACGGTTTAATGTACTTTTGAGGAATAGTGATTTTCAATTCTTCCTCAGTTAAAAGATTAATCAACTGATTCTCATTTATGATCCCCGGAGTATCAAATAAATGTCGACTTGTTTGTGGAAAATGAAATCCTTTCGGATTAACACCAAAAGTTTCTTTGAATAATGTCAACGGTAATCCTAACATTCCCATAGTTGTACCTGGTATTGGTGATGATGTCACTTTATGTCGCCATCCGTCAACTACCATACATCTTAAAAAACTATTAATTAATTCAGATTTTCCAACATTTGTTTTCCCAATAAGATAAATATCATCGAATCCACTTCGAATTGTGGACATCGTTTGCGCTAGTTCTTGAACTTTCCAATTTTTTTTGGCACTTATTAGAAATATATCACGGATATTTGTAAACCCAAATTTTTTGCATTTCTCATATAGCCATCGTTTGATTCGAGTCTCGTTTACGTCATTAGGAAGAAGGTCCATCTTGTTTGCAACTAAAATATTTTGTTTATCCGTACCGATCAGACTATCAAGATTTTCTAAAAGTGATCCTGGAAAATCAAAAATATCTACTACCGTAACGATTGTGGCATCCTCCTTCTTTTTCAAAAATGACAATATCGATTTATCGGTAGTTAATGATTCTTGCCATGTATCACTAGTCACTCGATTATAGTGGAGTAAATTATAACAACGATGACAAAAGATTCTTTCGTCCTTTTGTTTTTCATCTGTTACTCTTTCACTCTTTCGTTCCTCCATTAGTTCCGAGGAACTCATATGTGTAATTTCACCTTCTGGATAAAGTTTCTTTCTTATATCATCTGGAATTAATCTAATTATTCTTTCAACGTCTTCATTATTTAACTCGTTTGAATTGGGTTTGATTGTAGGTTTTTTAAGCGTTGCTGAAGGAACGATCAGATAACCTGGTTTTTGCTTATCTTCAGTTTGAAATTTTGAACCGCATCCTGGGCAATAATCTGTTTTTATACTCGAATGTGTCCTTAACATTGATATCTTGCGTGCGCTCGACATAAAGCCGAGAAACTGCCATCTTAATGTTAAAGGTACCACATAACCAAATTTTTTATAGGTTGGATTTTTTATGTATCTAAGCTTGGAGAAATTTTGCATTTTAGTCAAATTTATAGATTTTAATCGTACAGATTAATATTATTTACATCAGAGCTAAGCCACCGATAAATTTTAATTTTGATGAAATTAACATTATTAGGTCATCAGGCTAAAAAATTTCGCTAAAAAAGACTTTTCGTCATCAGGTTAGGGTTAGATTTTGCTACTATTATTATCAAAAAATTCGCAAGAAAAGCTTTTTGTTAGTGCGCAGAAGGCAGTTTTATAAGTAAAGTGTTACGATTTCTTCCTTTGCGCTACGTCAGGTTAGATTCTGTTGAATTTATCGAATCGACAAATTTGAGACATGCATAAACTAACAGACGAAATATTTCGAAGTTCAAAAAGTGCAAATTTATAAATTTATTACTATATGGTCAACTACCATATTTATTAACTTTCTTTAAAAAATTTTAATTTTCAAAAACATATCAAAAATTCAGCTATTACATGATAAAATATTTCAGCTATCATTGTTATATACATTTAATTAAGTACATTAAAATAATTTCATATTTAAATTTGTACATAACTTGTTTAAAAATTAATTTTGTTTCTGAAAGCTAACCTACGTTAATTATAAAACAATCAATGACGATGCATTTATATGGTACCACTGTAACGTATCTCTCCATTTCTTTTATAATATTATCATTCAAATCCGAATATTTTAATACACCCACGTAATTCAAACTTTTTTTTCGCGTGCAGAATTCGATTAGTGCTTTAGCTTGTTCCTCATCAATACTTTTAATTAAAAGCCTTTTTAAAGGTGCATAGCAATTATTGAGCAAAATGCCAAGACATGAATTTAACGGAGTGCGTTTTAAGTCAAGATATTGCAATGTTAACGGCAATATTTCTGCTAATTTCTTAATTTCTTCTTCTGACATGTTACATTCGTTCCACACAGCGAGAAATTGAAGTTTTTGTAATTTACCAATAAGCTCTATAATTAGTGTAGAAAATCCAAGTGCAATGTCGAGATATG